ATCCTTGTCTCTGGGTCTCCTGGAGACCCCAGCCAAGAAACTGGCACAGCCTGTTGCTGTGTTAGATGCTCTCGGCTTAACCTACTTGTGGCATGGTTGCTGTTTCCATCAGATACACCTGCCTTCTGGCATGGGAACCCGCCATAGCCCACCTTTCCACCTGCTGGGAAGCAGCATGCCAGACCCTTGTTCTTCATAGCAGCTCCAAAGGCAGGCCTGGGGCAAATTATGTAAATTGAGAGCCTGTAAGAGGCAGAGAATCTCCATTCCCACTGTGTTTGATGTCATTTAACATCTCTGCAAGGCTGATGGGAGGTATTTGACTTTAGCCTGTTTCAATCTCAGATTCTTTCAGATACTGTACTATGGTGATTCACTCTTCTAGGAAGCAAGTCTTAATGCTCACCTTACTCTTTCTCTCTCAGGATTAAATATGTCCATTCTAGTTCTCTGGTACATGGGGGCACCTGCCAAAGCTCAGAGCTCTGGAGCCTCCTGGTGGATTGCCTCAGTGCTGGATTACTCAGTGGGCGGGCTATTCATGAGTTTGTGTACCAAACAAAGAGCGCCGAATCTATGTGATATTTCAAAACAAGCATTAAAGGAGTCCTCATGAGAAAAAATCCCAGAATTTTGTTGCCCTTCATTATGTTTGCTTTATGGCTCAACATGGTGTCTGTTTCACACAACATCTGTGCATCACAGTGCGCAGCTGTCAGAGACAGACAGCCCTGTGTGGGTGATGTCCCAGAGCTGTGAGGTGCAGTGCCCTTGAGAGGAGGAGGCACAGAGTACTTACTGATGCTTGGGGCCTCCATAGATTGATTTCCCCCTGATCTTGGGTCTTTCATACCCAGGGGAAGTAGAAATCAAGACATTCCCAATGACTCCATGGTAATTTGACTTCTAGGAGGTCAAAGGAAGCAGAGGTCTAAGAAAACCCAAGGTGCCTGTTTAAAAAGAACTCCTTTGGTCAAAGGGAGGCAGGCTTAGTAGGAAGTGCCTGGGAAAATCACCTGCGTGGGGTGTTAGGGCGGGGAGAGGCTGAGGAGGAGGGCTGTTGGCTGGCATAGCTAACTGCAGGCAGAAAGAAGAGAAAAATAACATGATTGGAATGTTTATTTCCTTCCCTGGATTAAAATGACAGAAGCAGGCAATCTGCTGTTTGTGCAGAAAGGCCACTGGGAAGGAGGGAAGAGAGCATATGTTCTGAGAAACTGCTGTTTAAAAATGCAAGAAGTACACAAAGCAAAGTAGGAGCTCCCCTTAGTGCAGGCCACTGGCTCAGAAAAAGGGGGCACCCGAGAGGCACCCACTGAGAAAGCCTCAGGTGACCGGAAACCTGGCAGTGTGACTCTGTGGTCCCATGGAGGGCCAGCCTGTCTTGCATGCAGAGCTGTGGCTCTTGCTCTCAGCAAGGAGAGAAGCACACCGCACCCCCACTTCTGTGGCCATCCACCCTCACCTCCCCGACCAGTGCTGTCTGGTTACATACCGGGTTACCCTGTCTACCCTCACACCTCCTCTTGGTGTCTTTGCCTAGGGGTAACAGCAATCATTTTTGGCAGAAAGTAAGGCAAAGAAATGTCCTCAATGGAGCGAAGTCGCTCTGAAACCCCAGGGCTTGAAAGGCCTGCGTATTTCTTTAAGTATCAGGGAACTTCTTCAAAGGTGCCAGTAAAACAGGCTGCCAGCTTGGCCCTGAACCACATAGTGCAAAACAAGGTCCTCTTACCAGGCATCTCTGGCTGCCTTTGATATTCAGATTCACCACTGAAATGCTGTTGGTCAGAATTGGGTGTGACCCTGGGCCTTGGGGGTGCCTTTCCTGGGCAGGTATGCTGTGCCTTGGTTCATCTGTAGACTGGACTAGATTGTCGGCAGACTGGGCTGGACAGCAGCCACCTGTGCTTTCCTCCTGTGATTGGCTTAATGCTATTCTCCTAGTAGATCACTGGATCTACTATTTAAATTTGTGAATAATTGGCCCTCAGGTCTTGAACCTCTCCCAGTTCAAGTAAACCAGTCTTGCATATAAGAACAGAAAACTGAACAATCTTCTTCCCAGAGTCCTAGAGGGTCTTTTTCCCCCTTCTCACCTAGTGGAAAGGATCATTTTCAAACCTATTTTCTGATAGTAAAATGGAAGTAAAGACAGAACTTCTTACAAGGACTTAATGAGGTCAGGCCTGTAAAACAGCACAGCATCTAATGATTGCTGTTATTATTATTAGATTATTTCTAAGATGAAGCATGTTTTCTCTAGGAATTCTGTGAGCAGGATGAGAGCTCTTGGCCCTCCCCTTTGAATGAGAAGAGGGCACCATACAAATGCAGCTGATGCAGAAGGAGCCCTCCAGTAGTCACTCTGAAGGCCCATTGGCTGCTGGCAGCCATTTCTCAGTGACTAGGCATTTGCCTTCCATAGCCTGCCTGCGGATCCTGTGGCATCCACAGACACATGTCTTCCCTTCTGTTATCACTCTGGCCAAGCATTGCCAATTCCTTGAGAGAATTACTGCCTGCAACCCTGCTTTGGGTTTGGACAGGCACTCCCATTTGCTTGGTTTGCTTTTAGGCCAGGACAATTTACCCTTGGACTCCAGGCTGGGAGATTATCAGCAATGGTAAAGAAAGGCTAGTTGGTATACCTGTCCCAGGTATACGTGGTCCTGCATGTCCCCTGTAAGGCCTCAGCACCCATAGCCAGCCCTGAGCTTCATCTCTTTCACAAAGTTCAAGAGGCAAGTGGCTGGCCAAGATGACTCTGGTTTTATGACCCACCCTGCAAGAAAGGCCTTTGCTAAATCACATTTTAATGTCATGTCCTAGTCTTTTAAAATCAAGGGTTAATGTACTAACAATCATTTGAAGAATGTTTAGGTGCCTTCTATAAAACCCTCGCAGAACATATTATTCCTACTGGTGTTATATCCATAGTCCCAGCTCTAGTAACAGTATCTTACATTTGTAATGTATTTGGTTGGGTGAGTCACACTGTCAATGAATAAGCGAGGAGAGAGAGTGGAAGCAGTGGTGTGAGGCAGAGCCGAGCCTCAGGCCCGTGTCCAGGTGTCTGAGCTCCAAATCCCGCCATCCTTTAGGGCCCCACTGGTTAGCATGCTGTCCTGTGTATAATGACCTACATGATGAAGTCCTCTAAGACTTAGGACCAGAAGAAAGCCTTAATCACCTGCCTCCTTGACTCAGATAATGTTTACTTTTGGCTCCACGCTGCTCAGAAGCAAATGTAAAGATTGATAGCAACCACATCAGTCTGGGTTTTGGGAATTCAAACTTCCCCATCCCTTCCTATTTCCTTTTGATTTTCTATTTCTGTTTTAATGGTCTGATTGTGCCTTTTATTTTATGCCATTTCAGTCCTTTTGGGAAGCAAATGGGGAACACATTTTTAAAAGATAAATCAAACAGCCACCTCAGTTTTACCCCGCAGGAGAGAGGATCACAGAACTTTTCCTTTATCCAAATGTTTTGTTGCTCTGCTCTCTAGGGAAAGAGCTATTCAGAGTAGGGTTGCCAGAGAATATATAGGACTCCCAGTTAAGCTTGAATTTTATATAAATAATGAATAATTTTTAGTACAAATATGTCTCAAATGTTGCATACTGATTTTTTATACTAAATATTATTCATTGTTTATCTGAAATTCAAATTTAACAGGATGTCCTGTATTTTATTTATTAAATGTGGCAACCTAATTCAAAGCAACAAAATTCCTAAGTACATAGCTAGCTTTTGCACCTATGCATAGATTAGCTAAGGATAAAGTTACAAAATCAAAACAAGTCTGTAGTTATAGTTGATGATGAACTGGACACTTTTAAAGTCAAATTTTGAACAACTGGCTTTTGGAAACATTTAGGTTTACTGGCCAGAAGTTCATTGTCCATGTCCAGAGGTAGCATATCCTACTGATGCTGGACCTGACTTTGGCTTAGGACTTGAAGACCATGTGGGCCTGCCTATGGCTTCCCAGGAGCTGTTGAGCAGCACTTGACTGGTTCAGCCTCTCCAGGACATAGTAATACAAGTTTTGGCCAGGTTTCCCAACCTTTGATTTGGGATTTTAAAATTGTTAATTTAATTCCTACCCCCATGTGAAAGAGGCCAAATTATTTCTCTGTTCCAGTAAAAACTGTCTGCCAGCTACTTCTGGGATCCCTGGGGGTATTTTATCAGAGCTCCCAGAGTTCTCGCAGGTCTCTTTTCCAGTCTCTGCCTCGTGGTCTGCACCGTCATTCATATGAGGGGTGCCTGGAGGCTGTAGTATTGTCAGTGAACAAACAGGGCATGGCTGCTTGCCTCTCTGCCAATGGGCCCCCAAGCCTGAAACCCCGTGAGACGGCCTCATGGTCCTGCATGTCCTCTGCCCTTCTCTGTGTTCTAGGGGAAAATGGAGAGGATCGTCTTTCCTGAACTGTGTCCCACTGCTGACATGGGGGCCCAGAGCAGCTCTGCTTGGGCATCTGCAAGCCACCGAGTGCTTCAGGATGTGAGCAACACCTGCCTCTTCTGAAGTCCTTTCCACGGGCCTCAATGGCCCATCCCTTGGGGACTGGGAAGGGATAGACACCTTGTGTCAGCTTTCTTTCCCCCAGGGAGCAGAGCTCAAAGCTTCCTCCTTATAATAAAAGCACTCATGCTACTCAGCTTACCATGTGGACTGGCCTGAAGCTTTTCCAGTAGTTTGCTAGACATGATTAAACTTAACTGAGATTCAGTGGGGAGCGGACCCGGCAGCTCACACGGTGATCCTCTTGGCACAAACCGTGTCTGACAAGGGGGCACTAGATGGCCTTAGAGAAGGTTGTGGCTATGATCCTAATCTGCTCAAGTCTGTGTTTCAAGGATGCTGGCACAAAAGGACATTACCTGTCAGAGGCTATTTGCCCTTCCTCTTGATGCTGCCCTTGTGAGGACATGAAGTCTGGCTTCTCCAAGTTTCCCAACTCCACCAGAAACCACCAACCAAAGCTCCTGCGGTGAAGACCCCGTGTCCAGGGGCAGAGTGTCCGCTGAGGCTGAGGGTGTGCTCCTCTGAAGTCAAAGGCAGTCGTGGCTACAGCCAGGCTTTACACGGCATGTGGTAATGGTCCCCCTTTCCTTCTGTGCTCTCCCTCTCTTTCCTGGTGCATGGATGGATGATGGTGCTGCAGAACACTTAGGAATTCCGCCTGCATGTGCCAGAGCTTCACTCTGCAGTATGAGTGCTGTGGCTGGCTTTGCCCTGCAGGTGTCCCTGAATGACTTGATTCCAGGTTAAATTCTGACCTGCAGGCACCGAAAGGGCTGGCCACATGACGCATTTGTCCTTTCTAAGGACGGTGCCTCTGATTTTCTCAGTGTAGTTTACTCAAGTGAACCTGCAGTTTCAATAGTAACGCATATATCCAGGCTACTAGGTTGGAAGTGCCTTGAGGACAGACAGGTTCCCCAAAGCAGATCCTAAGACAAAGATTTGAGTGCAAGTAGTATATTTAGGAAATGATCCCAAGAAGCACAGCAAGCGAGTAAAGAGTGAGACAGGAGTGGAGCAGAGATCAGAGCAGGAGCATTAGCAACATTCCTACTGTGCATTCCAGAACTGGGGCTCAGGTCTGTTGGGGAAACTTGGACAGTCTGTAGGAAGTACACCTTGCATTGTCCCACCAAAGAGCAAGGAGGCCGGGGCATTTATCCACTAACTTCTTCCCTTCATGGGTTGAGGGATGCCCCTGTGAATGGGCCAAGCCAGTCGAGGTCAGAGGACACACCAAGGCACGAAGAGGCTGGAGGCCTGGGTCTGGATATGCGACCTGTCAGCAGGTGACCTCCAGGATGGGCAGACTAAGAGTGGGGCATCAACAGCCTCTCCTGCAGGGTCTGTGCCTTCCTCCTCTTGAATCCTTGGTACCTAGACAGAGCCTGGCACTTCACAGATGTTCAGGAAATGTTAGTTGGATGATCAAATCAATGAATGAGGACCACACATGCACAAACACGCACATCATCCTGCAAATGCTGCCCAATTGTCAAAAACCATTTGGGATCTTTTGCAACTAACTCAAATGTCAGTGACAGTAGTTAGTAGTGGGCATGTCAAGATAATTTAGTCTCAGCTTAAAGTCCTTGACTAGAGTAGATGTGGAAGACCCAGCTAGGTTATCACATCCAAAACCAAGAAAAGGAGACTCCCTATAAAGTACCTTGGACATTATAAAGGGGGTATAGATAAGAGATATTACTATCACCTCTCTTCCTGGATGTTTCTGGGCATAGGTGACTCATAGCCCACTGGGCTGCCTATTTCATTGATATGTGGCTTTGCCAGTTAGACACGTCTTTTATATTGAACCACAATTTCTCTCCTAATTGCTCACTGGTTTTCAGGGGCTCCAAATTCCAGCTTCATGACTGCGTTCAGGGGCTCATGGTTCTGTGCCTTATTTCCTTCACACGTAAACAGCCTATGAAAATGCTGTACAGCATTCTACATAAGATCTGGACTCTGATTTCCAACTGTCTACATTTAAATTCAGGCTCCACCATTTATAAACTTGACTTTGAATGCATTTCCTTAACCTCCTTGTGTCTTAGGTTCCTTACCTGCAAAACAGGGATAACCATAATACCCAATCCATGGTGATGCTGTAAAGCACTTGGTAAGTGATATGTTAGTGTTAGTTATTATATTATCTCTTAGGTGTGCTGTAGGTATTAACCAAGATAACGCATGTAGAGCTCAGTTATTTGTTCCTCTACCATCCCCTCTTTCCAGGCTAAACATCCATTCCTCCTATGCACAGAGTACAGTTTCCAGCCCCATCTACAACCAGACCTGTGCAGATGCAGTGTGACCCTCATCCTGCCCCCTTTATGACTTTGCGCCATAAAACTGCTGTGGCTCAGTAAAGTGTGTTTTTTTAATCTTCTTCACAATTGCTCACATATCAGTTATCATCAGCAGATGACATCAGATTTAAATATTTACAGAAAGATTGGAAAATAAAACTGCATTCTACTGTTTCTTCTGTGTCTGCAGAAACCCAGTTTTGTCTTCTGGTCAAATAGCCCCAATTTATTGTCCAACAAATACTGCCCCATTGACCTAATTCCAAAGCAAGAAAACAATGGAATTTATGTCAGGAACTGATATATTATATGCAAGAGTGAGACTGGTTGAATTGGAAGATTATGGGAGGTGTGAATAAAAAAGAGAAAAAAAGAGGAAGTTTGAGACTCTGGTGAAGGCTCATAGTACAAGAATGAGGTTTTAGATTCAAATTGCACAGCTTCCCCCAGGGCTACATCCCAGACACTGTTCTCCATCTGGCGTTAATATTCTCTGAGTCCTGGTCAGCACTTGCCCTTTAGAATCCTCTCTCTGCAGCTTTTTGGGCCTTTGGTTTTATTGACCACAACCACCATCTTATGCTCCCACTTCCACAAGGCCTCAGGGCAGCACCCTCGTTTCCTCCCACACCTCTAGTGGCTCTTCCTCAGGTTTTTCCATGGGCCTGCCTTAAATCTGAACAACCTCCTCTACTCACTGCCTCGCACTGCCATCCATGTCTTCCACTACCATCCATGCTGACAATCCCAGAGTCTAAATTCCTAGTCCAAATGTATCTCTTCTCTTTGAGAGTGGCTTACACATTTATAACTTCTAACTCGGTATTTTTGTCTAGATTTCCTGCTGGCCTCCAAACTCAAAATGTCCAACATGAAATTCTTTATCTCCTCCGATTCCCAACTTCTCCATCCTGCTGCATTTCCTATTTTGGACAATGATGCGACTAACTCAGCCTGACACCCAGGCATCACCGTAGATTCCCTCTTCCACTCCAGTGAGATCCCACTGATTCTATTTATTACATACCTCTTGTATCTGTCTCATCTTTTTCAAGTCCCCTGGATTCCAGTAGTTAGACATTTTCCCACCTGGACCACTCAACAGCTTCCAAATGATCTTGCTGCTACCATCATCTCTGCCTCTTTCCCCTTCTAACTAATGGCAGTGACAGTAGTTAGTAGTGGGCATGTCAAGATAATTTAGTCTAAGCTTAAAGTCCTTGACCAGAGTAGATGTGGAAGACCCAGCTAGGAAGACCCTTCTAGCCTCATCCTCCGCACGGCCATCTGTCATCTTCCTAAGCTGCAGATGCCATCTTCTGCACCATGGCATCCACAGCGCTACAGCAGCTGGACCCACCATACCTCTCCAGCCATCTGTTAATACCTAAGGATTAATATTTTATCTGTTGATACCAATCAATTAAAAAATATTTCTGGAACACCTTCTAGGATTGTGGATTAGGATTATGTCAGATCTTGTGGAGGACATGATCCTCAAGTTCTCAGGGCTTTCAAAACTATGTGAAAAGAATAATTGCATAATTAAGTGCTTAATTGTGTGGTATAGACTACAAAAGCAGTATGAAGTATATTTCCAAGTTGGTCTCAGGTTCATAAAAATACACAATTTTGTGTACACATATAAATTATGCACTTGTAATTCTCTAATAAAAAAGTTTATAATACAGATTTGCCTTGGTAATCGTAGTTATTTATGCTGTGAAGAGGGAAAGAGGTCAGTTCTATAAAGCAAGAACCTTTATTAGTTTGAACACTTACTTCACAAAATTACTCATTTTATTGCATATTCATCCTACTCTTATTTTAGTGGGAAGGAAAATGGTCTGTGTAATTGAAACGAAAAATGGGCCATTGCTTACACTTCTTAGAGGGATATAAATCAGACAGAGTTAACATCAGGTCAAACAGGCAAGGTAAGGAAGAAAAACCACTCACAACTGTGGAATGGATGGCATGTCTGTTTCCCCCAGATTCACATGTGGAAGCCTAACCCCAAATGTGATAGTACTTGGAGGTGGGGTGATTAGGTCAATGGGATTGGTGCCTTTGTATGGAGAGACAGAAAGAGAGAGATCATCTCTCTCTTTCTCTCTCTCTCTCAGCCACGTGAGGATACAGGAGAAGTTAACTTATCTACAAGCCAGAAGACAGGCCCTCAACAGACACCGGATCTGTCAGCAACTTGATCTTGGACTTCCCAGTTTCCAGAAATGTGAGAAATAAATGTCTGTTGTTTCACCCACCAAGCTATTGTATTTTTGTTACAGCAGTCTGAACTAATTAAGACAAACTCTTTAGCATAACACTTTAAGTCAGTGTATCACATATCATCAAGATAAAGAAGTCTGGCTCAAAGCAGAGAGCCTTTCAAACAGATGGGACCCCTCTGTGATTTAACACAGGTCTAGCTCTTGGTTATGAAGCCCAGGGTGTCTGGCTCTTCGTGACGCTCCCATCCTGTCATATTCCCATGCAGAACTCCACAGGGAGGCCATAAGCACCCAGCTTTCTTCCTGGAAAACAGATGCACTTGGCTTGCAGGAAGGAAACCAGTTTAGATAAAACATGGTGCCCATTACTTTCCTTGTGAAAATTGTTCTTAGGTGAGGTATTACAAGTCCAGGGTAGTGATATCTCTCCTTGTTTTTGCTCATTAATTTGTATGAGCTTGAAACAAAGGGACCTGGTACTGCAGGGTTTGATCTTGCTGCAGTAGTTTTCTGAAGCAGCCAGTGCTTTAGACTAGGAGCCAGGAGGCTGCAGTCCCAGCCCTGGCTCTGCCATACACAGCGGTGTGCGCCTGGTTAGCCCCTTAGCTCCATAGTCTCAGGCTCCTTATTCCTCATATCATCTTGCTGGTGATAAACACATTTTATGCGAAAACGTTTCAGGAAGTTTGGGGCCCTAAAATTTGTAGGGCATCTGAGACACCTACTGTGACCCTTTAAAAGGTCCCCTGGGCTATTTATATCCAGGAGCCATAATCCTGAGGTGACCTCACCATCAGGGTGAGCACCTGCTCACTTTCTCCTGCGACGGAATTAGCATTAAGAAGACCTATTGTATTAACATAGTGTTTCCAAGTTTTGAAAACACTTTCACACTCATCATCTCATTTAATCCTCACAACACCTCCTTGAAATGGGCAGAGCAAGTATTATTTTTATTCTTTTATTATTTTAGGGATGAGGGAACTGAGGCTCAGAGTCCTGGAGCAGTTCGCTTGTTTTGACTCCTCCCAACTCCTCAGATCCTCTCTCTGCTTCCCGTAAGGTTCACGGGTGAGTTTTCCATATCCGTCTCGATCCTCTGTGCCTTCCAGATGAGACCCTAGAAGCCTGGCTTCATCTTCCCACCCTACCCTAAAGGCAAATGTTCTCTCTTGCTCCTATTAATTCCAGGTTTTCTGTAGTTCTTTATTTGGCAGAAAAAGAAAAGTCCCAGTCTTTGCACAAGCACATATTGCCCACCTCCCCTAAGTCAGGTCTTCTGCCTGTTGTCACCCTTCCTCCCTTCCTTTTAGTGTCCATCACTATAGAAACATTTATTCAGCAAACATTCCCTAAGTTCCTACTTAGTGCAGGGCATAGCACACAGATCCTTAGTGGCGATGGTAGCAGGCACATGCAAGGTGCTTATAGTCAGAGGGGGCAGCTACTTGCATTGTTAAATGGTGTGTCATGACTGCCCAATGTTGCTCTGCATTTGTATTTTCGGTCTTGGATTGTGAATTACACAAGGATGGGTCCGTGTGTTTGGAACTCAACCTTAGTTGGTATATGAAGAGAGCTCAGCAGGGAATTTTGGTCTACCTTAGGGATTGCTGCTGATGTCAAAAAAAGTCAGGACCGGTAGAAACATGAAAACAAAGCAAAAGTTTAATCCCCAAAGAGATAGTTGAGGAAATGATGGCAAAAACAAAATTGCTGAAGTTATTGAATGGTGTATGTTCTTTCGCCATTATTTATAACACCCAGCTGCTGGGTTAATGGAAATTTTCTACTAACAGCTGCATTTACCAATGCTCATTTGTGCATCTGCTACATGAAGCCTGTAGTGAAGTATAAGTTCAAGACCTTCTTAATTCATTAGTTGGTAACTTATTGATTCTGAAAGCTACAAACTCTGTGCCTTGTCATCATTTTCATAAAGCATTCCTCAGGGTAGTGTTCACTGTAACATATTGAGCTTATTAGGAGGTTTTGGGCCTCTGATTCACTTCCACAGTGAAAGCTATGTTAAGTCACTTAGGTATCAAATAAATCTGATTGTGGAAAGTCTTCAGCTAAATTAAGACGCTGACAATTCACAAGCCAAGATGCAAAGTAATGGTGATTAAGAAAAATAATCACCTTTGCTGCCAAGAGGACAGGTTTGATCTGCTAGGTAGTAACTCCCCAGGTATCTGTTTTCTAAAAGACAAGTCTTGCTATGAATGGGTAGAGGGGCAAGAGATGCTTTTCTGAACTGCAATATTCACTACCTACCCTAATGTGGAGAATTGTGTTTGGGGACTAATCTTGGACACAGAAGGATGGATTCGCAGAATTTCCCAGAATTTCTATAGTCCCAGGGGTGGCAGCCTCATAGCACCCTTCTCCCAGCTCTCTCCTATTGTAAAGAGGCAAGAAAACAAAAAACATCACCTTTTTAGACTTCTACATAGAGGAACGGTCATGTGACCCAGCTCTGGCTACAGAGATGTGAGTGGGAGTCACGGGTTACAGGGCCGGGGGGAGCCTCTCGTAAGGGGTAGATGTGACCCTTAATGGGCTTGCCCATTCTGCCTTTGCTCCCTTCTTCCTGCTAGCACGTGACCAGGATGCCCACTGGCCATGCAGCAGCTGCGTCTGAAGGATGGCAGAACGGAAAGCTGAAAGGCGCCCGGTTGCCCACTCCTGCACGCCTCTGCCTGGAGAGGGGAACTCCTGTTGGCTTAAGCCAGGTTCAGCAGGGCTTTTTGTTTGCAGTCAAATATAAGCCTAATTTTAGGATTTTTCAGTTCAGAGGATAATTCCTCAGCCATGCTGTCAGGTTTAGTAGAAGAGAAACAGCAACGGTCTGTGTTCTTCAGGAGAACAATTTACATTAAAAGTTTTCAGACAATGACAACAACTTCTCTGGAGAACTCAGGGCCAGATCTGTAAATATAGGTCCTGAAGTGCTGTTCTTACTGGATCCTTCAACCTCTCCATCTGGGGACAATTCTCTTCTCAGGGGATAACTTTCCATCAGTTCCAGTAGACTTGTTTGAGAAGCAGATTATATCTTCCTTAAAGGCTTCTTAGAATGATGGGTCCACGTTCACCCTCTTGGGATCTAGCTCTCACACCCTTCTTGTTCCAACGAATGCTTCAAATGGCGTAAAAATAAGATGGGCTTTCCTAACTATATCGCTTTCACCTTCCATACTTTGGTCCTTCTATATAATTCTGGAAAATGGAGTGATGACAGCCAAGATAAATTCAGTCAAAGGTGATCCATGTGTGCAGCTGCAGTCTTCTCAGCTGGTTTCCTCCTGCAGAAGTTTGGGAGTCTGGAGGCCACTTTTGCTCTCATATTATCTCTGCCCCTTTGAACCCAGCTGGCCCTCTTTATGACAATGCACTTTGTGGGTTTCAGTCCTATTGGAAATTAGTGAAAAGCCACATCCAAAAATTGCTTCAAAAGCTCCTCTTCTTTCTTGAACATTTCTCCTCTGCTTGAGCTTCTCTGAGATAACTGAGGGACAACATCCTTAAACTTCTTAGAAGCTCTATTGTTCGACTGAATAGCTCTCCAAGCACAGCCTTGGCTCTTTCTGAGGTCTTAGCAAAGGATTTCAGAGGCAATTCCTTGGCGTCATCTTTGGACTATGTTTTTCCGGGTGTACCCTCAGAAGAGTTTATTAGAAGGGCAAACTGGGAGACTTTAAATACAACACTTCCCCAGTTCTTTTGTTTGTCAGTCCTTCCTTTAGCTTACCTCTCTCCTCTTGCATTTTACTGTAAGTGGCAAGAAGAAATCAGGTGGCATCTTCAACACTCTAACTGGAGACCTGATGATAGAGCAGCCAGTTCATCAGGTGTATTTTCCACTGTTTACTCTATTGCTGAAGATTTTGCCACTTTATAAGAAGGATCACTTTCCTCTAGTTTCCAGTAGCTTTTTCCTTGCTTTCCTTTAAGCCTCACCTACATCCCAAACAAAGGCTTCTAAGACTCTGCTGTCAGACCCTTCAGGGCTCTGCAGGCTTCTCAAACAGTTTCTTCTATGTCTTTCCAACAGCTGCCTGCTTCCCAGTTCCAAAGCCACTCCCATGTTTTAAGGTTGCATTTCTACTGCACTTACAGATGCCCAAATCTGAATGAACTATCTGTTGCTGTATAACAAATTACTCAGAAACTTAACATCTAAGAAACATGTGTTATTGCATAGTTTCTGTGGATTAGGAACTTGGTAATGGCTTAGCTAGGATGCTCTGGCTCATGTTCTCTCATATTACAGTCCAGATATCAGTCAGGGCTGCCATCATCAGAAGGCTAGACCACGGCTACAGGATCCATTTCCAAGATGGCTTCACTCAGCTATTGGCAGGAGGCCTGTCATAGGGGTGCTTGACTGTTCTCATGACAGGCTTCTCCTAGAGCGTGTGATCCAAGAGAGAGCAAGACAAAGCTGAAATATCTTTTAGGACCTAGCCTTCAAAGTCAGAAGCCATCATTTCCAATATCCTATTGGTGGCATAGGTCAGCCCAATTCAGTATGGGAGGAGGCCACACATGGGCATGAATACTAGAAGGTAAGGCCCTTCGGGGTCACTGTAGAGGCTGACTGCCACAAACACTTACCAGGGCCAAGGTACTATGTAGGGCACAACTGGGGATGGGAAAAAAGGTCCCTTTCCTCAAGGAAGTGTACTCTAACTTGGGTGATTAGGCACATACACAAATAATGGTGAAAATACCATTGAATTATATAACCAAATAGCTGGAACTATAAGGGAAAGCGCGCACTTGATGTGTTTTTGTGTTCATTTCTCTACTAGTTTGTAAGCTCCAGGCAAGATAGCACCCATCTATATTCCCCATAAGGCTCAGCCCAGGGCCTTGCCAAAATGGGTGTTTAGTAAATATTTCCTGAGTGTTCAAACCCTTGCATCAAGCTCAAGAAAGACTGAAAACTAAGAATAGGCAATTGAATCTAATGATTAAGCTTCAGATATTCTAATTTCTGGAAAAATGCTTTTAGAAAACTATTGGAATAAAATTGAGATTATAAAGCACTGAGGAGGAGGTGAAAGTAGATCAGTTTAGCAGTAAAATGAAGGGTAAAGATGGGGTTTAGTTTGAGAGGAATTGGCCAGAAGATTCTCTTCTAAGTTTAAGGGAAACTTGGGTGTTTTTCTGAGCAAGAAAGGAGTCAGAAAGAGAGGAGAAAATGGAACTAAGAAGAGAACATTGATATTGACAGAGCAGTGTTTCAGGAAAGAGGCACAAGCACAAACAGGACTACACTTTGAAAAGAAAAGGAACCTTTTTTTCTCTGCAAAAGGTAGAAGATCAAGAGACATTTTAGAGTGAAGATAAGGGGAGTTTTGTTACATTACACTGAGTGACTTTGATAGTTTTTGATCAAAGATGGAAATCTTTGGAGCATGATCATTCTGTAGACTAAAGGGATCAAAAAGGGATGGGAACTTGAGGACACTGGAAGGGGGAGAGCTGTTGGAAGGAAATTGAGAGCGAGTGACCCCAGTACTCCTAAATTCTAGAGAGGAGCCAGCTGAGGTTCTATCATCTGGGTTTTTGGAGAACCAGCATGCATCATGGCATGATGCCCCCTGGCTTCACCCAGCAGGCTGTAAGCTCGATGGCAAAAGTGGATGGGAAATAACAGCTGCTGACACAAATGGCCGTAGCAGGAAGTCTCAGGAGACCTGGACCATCTGATTTCCACCCTAACTAATCCTTTCCATTACATGGTGTACTTTCTTTCCTTCAAATATTACTGTGAACTCTGGGCTGAGAAGAAATGGCATAATCTGTCACTTAAATGTGCGGTGTGTAATGGGGAAAATAAGGAGTTTTGAATCTTTTAAACAATTCTTAACATGAACAATTTAAGATTCAGTTACTAATTAGTGCTGC